TTGTTATGCAGCCCGCGCTCGTCATTCTCTCAGTTATCTAGCCCGCTGTGAAAAAAGTTTGGTGACCCCTGCTTTAGAACATTATTTGGTGAGTCTGTTTTAACTTTAAGAGCAGAATCATAACAACCAGTTAGATGATAGAAACCTAATTCTGTCTACCTTGGCAGAGCCTGACAATTATTTCTGATATTAAAAGTTAAAAAAAAGCTAACCCTGTCTACTTTCTTTAAAAGAAAACTAGCTAACGTATCCTATAACATTGTTGTTAAGACTCTGTTTAGGCAAACTCTAACTCCTAACTAGTTCTTACGAATCTGCTCTTCCTGTTAAAGCACAGTCACCAAACTTTGTTTTCGACTAAGTGCTTTTTTTCCTGTATACTGTAAATATACAACATTTATGTGAGTAGAAGGCTACGAATAAAATAAATATATGCATTTTCTTAAAATATACAGATTTGAATCCTTGAACGGTGATTAGAACTTGAAGCTTTTACCGTATTCTTCTTGGTAAAAGTGAATTTTTTTATTCGGTGCAATCTTAATCTATTTTTCTATACATCTAAAAAAAGAGACGCGATTATCACTAAAATAAAGGTAACGTGAAAAAAGGGGGATTACAGTGTAGCGGAGCAGTTTTTTTAACCAGATGTGTTCATAGTGCGAGAGGAATGCATTAGCTAAAGTAGATCCCAATGGGGATCGTGCCGCGCTATCTATCTGTTCATACAAGGAATGAATGAAAAGAAAATCCGAATAATAATAATATAGTAAGGCTTTAACTCTATTTTGAATGTACACTCATAAATATCACCACGCAAAGTTTCTAATCTATATTTTACGACCTCTTACAACTAATGACTTCACTATCCTTGCGATTCCATCAGTTTTACTCGTAAATTAAGTCAACTAAACTCTTTTGACAAGCTAGTTTTGACATGGAATTCTCATTTACGAATATTCCTTTGGACGAAACTATTAACATCTGCTTATCCAAACTGTTAGATCATGACATTTACATTAATGGTCTACACAAAATAGAGTTTAGAGCCGTATTAGAACTTTTTGTCAAATATTCACATTTCTTTTTCAATAACACCCTCCATGAAAATAGATAGCGTATTACAATAATAATATTTTTCTTAATGTTTTAAAAAATGAATGGTCAATATGAAATAGTTCTCGATCTCGGGCTTTTGTTATTTGCTTATTCCTATCATACTTAAAGAAACTTCACTGTTTACTGACATATAACATTCTGTTTAATTCAGTAAAGAAACATTCCAAGTCAGTACAGCATGTACTGTTTGTCAAAGTTGACTACACCCACACCAGATACGATAGCAGCGTATACAAATATTATTATTATTACATCAATTTTTTTGACTGAAAGGAACAATATTTTTGAAATTTTACACACGAGAATATGAATACATCATACTATGTCAACTTAATTTATGTTTTAAATGTTTCAAGAACACTAGAATCAAATATTCGATAATAAATACATCATCAACACATTCGAAGGATTCTGTGCAAGTACTTGGTTTTAAATGTATATATAAAATCCCCCCCTTCCCAGTGGCTGAGCGATAAACCTACAGACTTACAACGCTAAAAATTAGGTTTTGACACCAGTGGTGGGCAAAGTACAAAAGTCATTTGTGAAGCTTTGTTCTTAACAAAACAATCGATCAACAACGAAATTTATAAAATATAATTGAACATATTTAATTGCTTTCAATTATATATGAAATAATAATAATGAATGAATCAATAATAAGTTTCACGACAGGTAGCGCTTGTTTTCTTTAGGTGGTGTACTATTTGGTGATTGTGTGTTACGGTTTGTATATAATAATACAGTAATAGTTATACAACATTAACAGCCGGTATGATATTTATCTCTCTTTTAGTCTCAATACATGTTTTATTTTTAACACATTTTCTTTGTTAGTGTTAAGTGAATTGTTCCTAAATTCTGTTCCACTACCCTAATCTCCACGGCTCAGTTGACCTGGTTTTTAAAGATAGTAGTTATTATTACTATTAGTACAAAAATCATGGTCAGATCGCTGATCAGTTTCCTTGTCCAATGTAAATGAATAAACGCAAGAAATACTGAACGTAATTTGTATTTTATTAAGTTGAGAGAGAGCAGCAACTAACTTTTTTCTTCATCTGAGAACGCATAGCCTAAAATTCATAGTTGGAATATGTTTTTACCACGTTTTACATTTAACTGGACTGGGGATTTATTTTTAAATACCCCATGCTGGTTAGGCTATTTTTAACTCAAAGTTTGGATTATGTGACACCGTTTGTAGACATAAAATAGTTGTGTATTATTATTTTACATGATTTTTTAATTGTGAATTGTCTAACATGGTTACAACAAAATTTGTGAAAATTATTTTGTTTCCAGTGATTTATAAATTATTATATATTTATTCATTAAGTACTATATAAAAAAAACACTCTTATTTATATTATGATTGGACAATGTAATGATAAATCACTGTTTTCCATCTGTAATCAGTGACATGTTATCCATATGTTAAAGTATTCTGCTGCCAATGGATTCAAGACACTTTAATCAATATGATGGATTTGGCATTCAGGCTCTAGACCTACAGAATGAAAACATTTATAAAAGCAAAGCTAGGGCCCATATTTTGGATTAAAGATGAGCATAACAAGTTTCATTATGCAACAAGAAATTTTCCATTGATTTTATCTTTTAAGCAGAAAGAAATATGTATACAACTAATATTAAACTTATTTTTACATTTGAAGCTATATAGCTGCCATGCTTCAAAGATTCTCATTTTTAAATGAGAACTAACAGCTCATGAATACTAATTGTGTAACACTCAAGCACTGATTTTTGAAAATTCAGTGGGCCTGAAAAATGTTAAACTTTTAAAGTACATGTAAAGATTTGATAGTAAATAATAATTTGAGGAGATAGGTAGGTATTTAAAAATTAGCAGAAAATTCATCTTTTTTTCATTTTATGTTGATTGAAACATTCATATCCCATAACATTATCTAACTTTTTGACTTTGCAAGTGTAATATTTTCACTATTAATCTTGCTTTGAACTGTATTGAACTTATGATAATAATCTGTTGACTTTTGATTTCTACAGAAATATTGAATACAAGTCTCAAGAGGTTATAATTTCATTGAACAAGTCATTGGTTAGGCCACATTTGGATAATTGTGTTAAATCTTAGAAAAGTCATTGAATTATTGGAAAGGATTTGGAGAAGGGTTACTAGGATGGAGGTGTTATCATATAAGGAGACGTTGAAATCTCTCCAATTGTTTTCTCTTAAAAAAAAAAAAGAGGGGGGACCTTACTGAAGTGTTTAAGATTGTAAAGGGAATTGATAGTTACATGCATCATTTTTTTCATATTTAACAGTGAGAATAGTAGGACTAGGGGACAGAAATATAAATTTTGGCAGGATAGAAGTCATCTTTAGCTGAGACAGTTTTATTTTTCTAACAGGGTGGTTTGCTTTTGAAATGAGATGTTGTGGGGGCAGTAAATTTAAGTGAGTTTAATAGAAAGCTTGATAAGTATTTGAATGATAAGGGCTGGCTTTAAGATTTAAAAAAAAACATTTATTAATAGTTTTAGTTTAGTTTAGAGGATGGGACAGCTGAGATGGACCAACAGGTTACATGTTGTCCCAAAACATTATGTTATCTTATAAAACCAGTTTAGTAATTACCAAGACATAACACCAGATAAAATTATAATTTTGAAAAGTAATTAAGAGTTTAGAAATTAAGCCAATAGTCAAAACACTTTAACATATGGAAAAAAGTAGATCACCTTTTCCAATATTTAAGATTAGATTTGAAAACATTAGTTGAGTCAGGCCAACAAACAAGACATTTTACATTAATATGTGGAATACAGGGAGTAATCTTTCTCCATAACCATGATTAAACTTGAAAGCATTAGTTATTAAGAAATAACTAATGAGAACATTCATATTAAATATCTAGATTGCCTGATGATTCTAAGTTATCTAAGGTTGTTTTCTTTGAACATAGTTGGCACTGTTTTTCAGAGTATATTATTATGTAATTTTAAAAAAGTTCCAAAACTTTTATAAGTTTGAGCTTACTATAAACTGATGTTTATATCAGCTGCAATCAACAACTAACAGGTTTTTAAGTCAATATGCTGATCAGTGTGAACCTAATACATCTTGTTTGTTGTTACAAAAAATGTTTTTTTATGTTAGTCTAAAAAAGTTGGTGCTTGTATGCATGTGTAAACAGATACATCAATTTAAGTACCATTTACTATGATTCCTTAATTAGAATCTGCTGTGACTACTTAGCGTACATTTGTTTTGTGATTGAAAGTAATAAACTTTAATTAACGAGTCTGGAGGCTATCATTCATATAAAAGTTTGTTTAAGGAGTATTTTTTTATACATTTATGTGAATTTTTTGGTACTTTAGTGTTTTTATTTTATTTTACAGGCAATTTGCAGATGTGTGTGAATATACTAAAGATGACTCATTTCTTTATAATTACAATCTTTGTGTATATGAACTATCAGTACATCAAAGCAGAGAGAACTACAAATTTGTATCATACTGTGGATTTGAAAATGCCTGATGTTCAACCACTGATGGTATGCATTTTATAAAATATATTGGAGCTGGTTGTTTTCTGCTGTTGGATGTTAAACTTTTTAGACATTCTAGAATGTAAGAAAGATTAATGTGATAGTAGTCTATTATAATTTCTGAGGTCACACCTTCAGTAGCCAAAATAAACAAGCAAACCCAATTATAGTTTTTTGCATCCATATACCTATCCAAAAAAATGTTTAAAGTAATTTAAACACACTGTAGACTACATAAACAAGCAAACCATTTGACAGTTACATAATTCCAAGAAATAATTTTGCCAAAGAACATATCTGGATCTATTATACACCTTTTCATTTCAACACTTAACCACTCACAGGAAGATTACTCAACAACAGTGTAACCAATAAAATAGCATCTAGAGAAAGTCATGAATAAAATATTTTAACCAGTTAGTATTTGTTAATGAGATAAATAGAATTCCTCCCTTTTTTACTTGTGTATTTTGACTTTAATGGATGTTAAGTCATTTTGTTCTATTGCAAGTTGTGAAGTATGACTACATTGTTACTTTGATGTTATAATCCTTTACAAAATATCAAGGTTCAAAGCTAATTGGCTGAGGGAAGTTATTGCTATTAACATATTAGCTCCTTTAGGTACCAAAAATCTCCACTATGCCTAAATTAAATCTATTCTTTCAAGTTATATCACTTTTTTAAGTTTAGCTAGGTAAATGATGAAGTATGTCACAAGGTGGAGTTGTATATTAATTTATATAAGGAAGTTTGTTTGTATACGTACTTTTTTCCATTTTCTTTCATACAACATCTTGAGAATATGTAATTATCTAGCTAAGTGTAACACTTGGGGCTTCTCAATCTCTAGTATTAGTTTACATTAAGTAGCAGAATTATAGCCTTCTTGGTGTCAGTAGGCAGTTTATTGTAAATTGATTTATAGTCATCTATTTCTGAGGAAATAAATGGCCACAAATCTGTTACTTTCCAATATAAAAAAAAAATCATAACTAAACTTAGCCCAAAGAAATTAACTTTTTAAAACCTACAGTATCTACCTGTATCTTCAGTGGCTCAGCGGTAAGTATATAAGCTTATAACACTAAAAAATTGCACAGAGAGCCCATTGTGTAACTTTGTGTCTAAATACAAACAAAACCTACCTGTATACATCAACTTTATCTCAAGCAAAATAATAAGTTAATATGAGGTAAAGAACAAACATAGATTGAGTTATTGCATTGTTATTAATTATATCTAATAAATTGGTTAACTTTGGTAATGACACACAATCACAAATGTATGTGTCTTGTACATACGTAAAGTGTGACAATATTTCATTACGTCTTTTAATGATAACACAATTCAGTGATTGTTTTTTATGCATATATAGATGGATGACTACATTTGTACAGCAATGGAGCTTAATTTTGGAACAGAATATATTGGTATGTTGTCATACAGTATTGTATATTTCTTCTTTTAGTATCGAATTATTGTACGGACTTAGCAACAATACATTATGCACACACATACACTCTATTGTAAATATAAAATCCTATTAATAGTAATTTCAGTTAAAAATCTGTCTGTTTGAAACCAATGTCCTGAATTTAAGATTATTATTCTGGAATATTCTGAACAAATTAAGTTTTTGAGCAGATTTTTGTAACCATATAAAACCTTTCTTCTTTTGCAGAATTTTAAATATTTGTGTGTGAAAGTTTTGTTTAGTTTAGCTTTGTATTTACAGAAATGCAAAGACTCTCTCACTAAGCATGCGCTATGAAATTTTACCCCTTGTCATGCCCTTATGGCCCAAACTGTGTATCTTGCTTCTTTTATGTTCAATCAGTTTCAACCTTAATTACTTCATGCATTACACATGTAAAGTCATGTGGTCATGGAAATGTCATTTGTAGGAAAACTTCTCAGTCTCTCCCATTGACTTGATTATTTTCTGGTTATCCATTCATTTGCTTATCAATAGTTGTTTTTTTTTGTCTGTCTGTAGATTTTCAAGATTTGTGTATCTGCACTAATGCATTTTCTATCACAATATATATATATATATTTGTTTTTTCATTCAAGTACTTGGAATGTACTAGTCTTCATATTTAATTTTTAAAATACACCATTTAGCTTCATTAATAGAAATATTTCCTTGGGATCCATGCCCCCATACTACTTTAGAGAAGCATGATTATTCTGTGCATTCATGTCTTTGCTGTGCGATTAGGCATACACACAAATCTTCCTCTTTGGTGTGTCTGTATACATGCTACCTGAAGCCCACTTGTTGGCATTAGTCGACAGATTCAATGCAGTGTTATAGAAGCTACTAAACTGTATAAAGTTTATACATTTTTTTGCATCTTCATTGTTTATCAGTGTTTTATTGAAATTTTAAAGTTTGTAAAATCATTTAGAAAAGCTAAGCCTAATATTATATTTTGTCACACATTTTGATAAAGAAGTCCTTCTTTAGTTGTTCCATACTACGAACAATGAAGCCTTTTACTCAATACTAGAGCTCATCCAACTGAATTTATGATACAGAATAATTGTTTTTATTTGCACTCCCTTAGCTTATCAGTTTTTTATAGATCAATTCAACTTTTTCTTAAATATCAAAATTAACATTAAATTTTGTCACATATTTGTACTGAGAGTAAGTTTATACTTTCCATACTCCAGTAGTTCTATACTGCTACCAATTAAGCCTTTTATTCAATACTAGAATTCATCAGACCAGTAGATTTATAGCATATAGTTTATACAACAAAAAGAAATTAGAAAAAAATGTGAAAGAAACCCATATTGGGCAACAAAAGAAGGATATAATCAAATTATTACCAATCTTATTGTGATGTAATATCATCTTTTTACAACTTGCAAATCATATTTTGTCATTAGAAACACGATATATGAGGTCGATAAAATAGTCAAATTTAGAAATAATTATGTATATTAGTCTGTGTAAAGAAATGTAGCTGAAATATTCTGATTAATTTCAGAGAGTAAATCTAAACTAAAAACTTCTAGTTGTGTACGTGCATATGTTGTTATATTTTTTATAGTTGAATATGAGCCACATGCAGAAGCTTCCAGAAGTCATCACATGTTGTTGTTTGGATGTTTAGACATGAATGAAAATAGGCTATACCCTAGAACATGGTATGATAATTACTTTGTGTAATGAAAATAAATTCCATTCTTAAATATTGCATCGTAAATTTTTTTGTGCTCTATTCTAGTTCAAGTTGCAAAAAAGTTGAAAATGTTTACCATTATACTAAATTCAAACCTTTTGAATTTAAATAATGACACTATTAACAAAGTCAAAATGATATTGTTTGCAACAGTTCAGATTTGAATGTTCTAATTGGCTTTAGACCTGATATTATTTTTAAATAGGTACACTTTCAAAAAGTGCACCTACTTGTATTTGCTACTGTTAAAATCCATTTTTATTTTAGGAGATGTTCTCATTCAAACTTGTGCCCTGGTATGAGCATTTTGTATGCCTGGGCCAAAAATGCTCCGACAGTTATCCTTCCTTCAGGTACTTCTTCATTAAAACTAGATACTTATTATCTGTTTGGACTTTTATCATAGAAACTATGTGATTAGAATACCATTCACATAATGAAGTTGTAAGAGAAGATGTTTACTGACTATTCTGGATTTACTTAACTTTGCATAAATACCAAGTGTTTGCTATGATTGATGTAGAGAAAAACAGGGAATATCAAATGAGAACTGAAAACAAAAGGTATTAATAATACTTGATGTATTAATAAAATAATATGGATAAGGCAGTAAATCATCACTCGGTATCATGAATATGCATAATAGAAGTTATTAGCAATAAATTATTTAGTCCTAACAACAGTTTGTCGTGCAAATTAAACAAAGTCACTAACTGACTCAAAGTAAACATTTTAAAGAAAAGTAAAGCAGTTTGATTTTTAGGTAATTAGATCTTACAAATGTATGCAAAGCTGTCAACGTTTTAGTAACATGTATCATATAAAGTGCTTGTTTTCTGATGTATTTTTTTTTCTATATTTTCAAGAACGATCTTCAATTCATTTGAAGTAAAGTGTTTCTTTCTAAACATCTTATTAACATTTTATTTAAAGACTTCTATAAGGATTATCATTTAGCTGGATTTAAGTTGGCTATTGGGTATCAAGGTGATTAATTTTGTATTTATATATTTATACACAGCAGATATAAGGTTGAAATTAATTTTTTTTTTATTATCTGTCTTTTGTAGGTGTCGGGTTCCGTGTCGGAGCTGACACTACAGTTAAATACCTGGTTTTACAGATGCACTATGCTCATCTTCTCCCATGTCAGTAGCTTCACACTTTATTAGTTATTTTACACTAAATCGTATTGATTGTTTGAACTACTATATTTGAAATTGGTATATATATATTTTTTATATGGTTTTTATACCACCACTGTGTAATTCAGAATGATTACATATAATCTGATTCACTATTTCAAATATGATTTAACTTAGGATTAAAACATTTCTTGTTTTACAGCTGGAATTAAAGATTCAAGTGGAATTATTCTTCATTTAACAAAATCTCAGTAAGTTGAACACTTTGTTTAATAAATTTAAAAATACCCTGAGTAATTAAAAACATTTTATCACCCAGATAGTCAACCATTTTATAACGAACTTGAACTGATATATTAAATCTTACAGTCTGTATGTGTGTATTTATATACAGTTGCACATTGTATAAAGCTATATTTTGATGGTAGTTGGTTACAATGTGTCAGATAACACATTGTATAAGAATTCTAACATGATTCTTGTTTGCTAATATATTTAATGTCTGTTTGACTTCTTTCAGACAAAAATATATTGGTGGGATTCATATTTTGTATTCGAAACAGGCAGCAATTCCACCCTACCGACCAAGTAAGTATAGAAATTTTAAATATAAAATACATCATATTCATAAAGATATAAATGCAATTCTTTTTTTTTTCTCTGTTGTTCTTTTTGTTGGGGTTTTGTTTAATGAAATGAGCATGGTTTTTAAATTTTTCTCCAGAATGAATGAATCTTCCAACTAAATAATGATTGAAATTTTTGACTAATAGCTCATTCTTTTTTTAATTCATTCACTGTTACAGAAAAAACATTTGTCAAAGAGTCTTTTCACTGTACCATTTTATTTAGATATTTATAAAGATTTTAATTTTCGGAGCACTATATTTAACATTTTAAGGGCTTTACTTGGTTATAAAGATTACTGTGTTTTTTAATTTTTTCATCATTTAAAGTGTTTAGTATCTCACTTTTACAAGAAACAGAAGTTCTCAGCTAAACTTCAAATTTTTTATAATGTAAGAAATATTAGCATTTTAGATACCATGATATTTCTTGAGATACCCTTAATCGTGCCAGGAACAAAAACTGCTTGCTTAGGCCAATCCCTCTGTTTTAAAATAATTTTAAATGTGTTACAAAATGTATTGTATTTTGTATTCATATTAGTAGATACTTGATATAAATTTAGAATAATGATTTTGTTTCTCATTTAGTTTTAGAATCACATCAAAATTCAGAATTATGCACTCTCTATTATCACCATATTGTGTAATATCAGGGCTCTAAATTAACCCTTTATTAAGCCACATTTAGCCTGAATGGGCTAGTGACTGATAGATACAAAACATGACAGTTTGTTCTTGCCATTTTAAACATTTTGCAAAACTGTGTATGCTATATTAAAACCTATTTGAATATGCAAATTAGCAAGTTGCTTGACAACCACAGTTGATATAAAGTTGTGATGCAATGGTATGTATCTTAGCTACATTTTGACAGTGTTTGACAATTCGTAGGTAAGGTGATGCCACGGAAAATTCATTTATATTGGAAAGGGTATATAACAGCCCTTTCTGACACAAAATATTCATACATACATACATAATATTCCGGTAGGTACTGTTCCATTAAACCCCTGCAAATGGTAAGTTTTTACTGTATGAATACAATACTTATTAATATATTTAAAAAAATTTATTACGGACATTTACTATATGAATAAAATGTATATTTTTAAAAGATATTCAAATTAAGGGGGCATAATGGAAAAGTTAGTAAAATTGTGGAGTATAATGGAAAATTACCTTCAGGTCATGAAGAGGTGTTCTTACCAAGGATTTAGAATTTCTAAGATGGGATTATCACTTGTACTTAATGGAATTTGAAAACAAAGGAATATAGATTAACTTGAAGCACTAACATCATACAGACAGAAGTCTGCAACAAGTTATACCACAGCTGTGGTAAACAGTGTGTGACATCTTATGACAGGTGAGAATTTGTGAACATAGAGGTCAGTGGAAGAAAAAAACATTCACTTGTCCCAGTAGACAACATAATCAAGAAAGACCTACATTGGGAAAAGTGACACATGTCAGGTACATAAGATGCTTCCACATCATATCTATTCAACCATTGCATACCTCAAGCAGCTGGAGAATGAAACTGGTGTTCATACTATTCCATATGAAGACATTATACTGATCATACCAGATGCAGCATCTATGGTTTCTGTGCAATTGAATTGTTGAAGTAGGCACTGAAAAATTGTCATTCTTGTGCACTAGATGGATTATGGAAAGCATGCAGAGAAGAGTTTTCTGATTGGCTATTAATCACTTCCTTTTCTGATTTCAAAAATAAACAATTTGAGCATACTAACTATAGTGGTTGTAGTGTCTTCGAAACAACAAACTCAACAATATACTGATACTAATCCAAAGAGAATGAAAATTTTTATTTTCTGATTGTCTGTTGAATTATTTCCTTTTCTGATTTCAAAGGTAAACAGTTTTTTAAGCTGCTTTTGAGAAATTAAGAAAGAATCAAGTGTATATCAAAAAGTCAAAAATAAGACTAGTGTGTCAGGTTGGAAGTTAGTCAGAATGTATTTTTCACTTGTAGTGAGCTAGCATTAATGCCAACCCCTGAATATAGCTAACAGTCATATACTGTATGCATGAATACAACAAAAAGTTTCAGACAGTGATTTAAGTTGTTGTTTCTTATTGTTATTCATGGCATGACAAGTGAAATTACAGACACTGCAGCTGTTATAAACTACTACTTTGTATCGCACAGATGTGGAAAAGTTTAATATTTGTTTGGATCATCAGAAAAAGATCTTAAGTGAATGTGACTTGCATGAAATTTTGTGAAAAGCTTATAAGCTAATCCTACTTTTTGTCTAAGGAGTTCCCACATAGTTGTGAAAACATTTTGTATTTATTTTAAACCTGGAAACTTCTAAATAACTTTTTATCATATTCTGTAAGTTAGGACAAATTTGCATAGTTCTATATGTATATTTTTAACAGGATTTGATAAAATAGTAGTAATAGTGCTACTACTAAGTTATAAATGTTGGTTATTCGTTAGCTTGACCTCATTTCATCTTTGTATGTTCAAAAGCACTTTCGATAAATTAAAATCGAAATACATAATTATGAAAAATATGATAAAATCAAGAGATTTTCAACTCATCTATAAGTTTTATTAAATGTTTGTAAACTCCAAATTTAATTTAGATTTTTTTCTTTTTTAGTATACATGCTTTTTTTTTTTTACAGAATTTCATGTAGATGTGAATTGCAAGTTTCAAAGTAACCAAGTAATACACCCATTTGCTTTCCGAGTTCACGGACATAGTCTAGGTTTGGTGATCAGTGGATATATCTATGATTCACAAGCACAAACTTGGACATTGTTAGGGAAAGGAGATCCTCAGCAGCCTCAGGTAATATTGTATGTTGTATTAATTTGAGGTTGGGATAATCTCTAAAGTAATGAGTATTAGAACTATTTCTGAAATAACATTCCTGTCATTGTTACAAATTGTTCAAGAAAAAGTAAGGAAAAATATATAAAAAAAAAAATGTTTTCTAAGTGTTTCTCCCAAACTCATAATTTTTATGAAAATAACAGCAACAACAAACAGTTTTAACTCTTTTATATATGTGATTTATTAACCTAGCTAATATTTATGTCACTATAATTTTTTAGTAATTTCTGATACAATATCTTATCTCCTCTCACAAAAATATCTTTTCTCGACTAGCACTGCCATCTATCAGCACAAATTTTCAATGCACGCCACTAGTCTCCTACCTCCTGTTTCTGCATATCCACAGGTAAATGATTATGCAGCAGCTCTCCACCAATAGGAGCATGACACCACTCCTATCAAAAACAGTGCTCTCTTCACATCTGCACTTGTTAATCACTTCCAGATTGGCAATAGTCCTGTACAGACATGCTGGTTTTTACTCATGGAGTTGTCCATCATACTAATGAATTCATTTTTCTTTACTTTTTACTTAAATTTTTGCATTTTGGTATTGTGAAAGCTTGCTTTTTTTATTTTAAAATTTTCTTACTTTTTCAGGGGCCTTTTTTGTTAATGTAATGTGGATCTCACTCTGTGGCAAGTGGTGCCTGACCCTGTATACTTTTTTTTTAATTCACACTATTTATCCTGCGACCATGCTCAATGTCAATTACGTTGTAGCCCTTCCTACTGCATAACTTATGTACAATTCCAGATGCCACCAGGCTTTCATTGAATGACTCCGCCATGTCACAAATATATATATACTTGCAGTTTGCCCCTCAGCTGAGATGTTCCTCCTCCCTACCATCCTCTGGATGTACATTCCCAGTGTGTCTGGTGTTGGTTGGAGATGGTTCAGCTAAATTAGTCCTCACATGTATGCTGGCTGCTATCCCTTCTTCTACCGTGGACTGGATGACAAATGCCCACTGCCATCAGATTTTGGACTGGATATGCACCCCAGGTTTGCAGTCCCTCTTCCTAATGTTTGCTGAATGTTGGTTCCTGGCTGATCTGGTGTTGGTTGTAGCTGGTTGCAGCACACAACACATATTTTCCTGCTTATGTACAACCAGATATCCTCCTCCTACCACAGACTGGATGTATTATACCCATTACCGTCAGATTTTGGACCAGACACACCATCCTACCAGGCTTTCCACCTTCATACCATCTGCTGGATGTTGGTTCCCAGCAGACCTGGTGTTGGAAATGCATGCAAATGGAGACAGGTTTTATTACGGAAGTTCATCTTCCCTACTAATTCCTGTTTCGAGGTGAAGAGGTAGGTGATCCTCTACCTACCATGGAACTGATGTATCATTCCAGATACTGCCTGGTGTTGTATGAGGTCAAACTACCACTATGGTCTGTCATGCCCTAGCCGTTCAACACACTCCAGTTTTATACATTGGACATTCATATTTTGGGATTCCTTCATGTTTTTTCTGCCTTTTATGTTTACGACACTGTCATAATAGAGCAAAGAGTATACTTGGATCAGATTTGATGTGGTCTCTTTTTGAGGTGTGATGTTTTCCATTTTGGTTCCATACCTCCTGGTCTCTCTTTGGGCACTTCCTAATGTGGGATTCTAGCTATTTTGTGAGTGGAGGAAAGATATAGTGTTGGAAGTTAGGATTTTCCTACACCAAAAATGTATTTCCAATATATACTTATCTCCTCTCACATTTCCCACCCAGTCTCCCCACTTCCGATGATGTATGGTGTAGGTCTTCTGACCAAACTTGAAGTGATTAATGAGTGCAGATATGAAGAGGGTGTTGGTTACGTTAAGAGTGGTATCATGTTGCCGCACGATCACTTGCATGTGGATATGCAGAAGTGGGAAGTAGAAGACTAGTGATGTACTTTGAAAATTTATGCCAATAGAGGGCAGTGCTAGTTGACAAATGCTATTTTGTGAGAGGTATCTATCAGAAATACATTTTCAGTGAAGGAAAATGCTAACATATGTGCTAAGTAAATTTCTATATATTCACTAATTATCTTTGAAAAGTAAATAACATAATTTAGTTTCAATCAATATTAGTTCTGCAAAAGTTAGATTCATTTATAATGGTAAGAAGCATAAGAATACCTTTTATACTTACAAGAGTACTTGCATAAGATGCTTAGTTAAACAACACTGAACACACAATATCAGAGATTACTGTTATACGTGATAGTATCTTTTTTCTGATTGAGACAATTGCTTATACATATGCTGTTATAATGTCCTTTTGTGCTTTGCACAACAGTTCCTGCTTCTGTACGTATGTACGTACGTATAAAAGCTTATTCTTATTGAGAAAGAATAATCTTGTTTACTTATGAAGAACAAAATGATCATTTGTCTGTGCTGCATAAAATTTTTATTTTCTTCAAGAACATATCTTCACCAATTTCTTATATACTGCAATAGATTTTTAATAATTTATTCCCCAGGCAATAGAAAGTGCATATATTATGTGCTGCCCTCTAGGAATATAGACTATAAATGTTGAGGTTTAAAATTTGCAACAAATTTAAAATTATTTTAAGCATATATTTTATTCAATATTGAAAGTCTGTGAGGGTAGAAGAAATTTATTCTGTCTGTTTGTCTACCTTTAATGAAATTATTATGCATAATAACCAGTAGATTGTGTGTAATATAAATTATTATCTTTATACCAACATTTTAATTTATGATTTCAGTCATTTTATCCAACCAGTCATCTCTTAACTGTCAAACCCGGAGACATTCTGGTAAGTGTAAAGTTTGTTCATTAAATGTCTTTCTACTCATCGAAACTCTCACCTTGGATACCAACAAATAATGAGCAAACTGTTATAATTGAAGTCACAATCATACTGTTTGTACTTGTGAAAAGCTATGCATTCCTGTGTCAGATTGTAGATGATTTATGATCTAGGGTTGGGTGTGGTCTAGGTGTTAACATGACAGACTGTGAAACGGAGAGTCCATGGTTTACTTCTCATTTCCACAAAAAACAAATTGCGTGCTGCTTGAGCCATGAGTTCATTATAACAGTGATAGTCAAATCTCCTGTTAGATTAGAGTATCCAAAAAGTAGGTGGTGAATGTTGTTGTCAAGCTTCCTTTCCTCTGTGTTGAATAGTTTCATATGAAATTCTTTTGCATTCTATCTAGATTTATACTCTGTGCTGAGTTCGTCATCTGAAATATTATTTCCAAAAGTAGACAGACAGGTACAGTCCACGTGAAATTATTCAACATGTCAACACACTGGTCAAAAACTTCCTTTAAAAATCCTCCTTCTGTATAGTCTATCACTTCAAAATTAGGGATGGCTAGCAAAGATGGCCCTTGTTGTAACTCTTCATGAATATCCAAAACAAACATACATTTGCAATAGACGTTATCAAAACAAAAATTTCAAAGTTGATAGTTCCAGCAAGATGAGGTTTCATTTGTGCTCATTGTTTATGGACACCTGTTGATTAAGAAATATCCTCATACATTTTAACTGTGTGTAGATTTTTTTTTAAATATGAAAACCAATTCTATTTTTTATTAAATATTGAAGAGTTACATATGACAAAATGTAATTAAAAGATAATTTGAAGTGGTTTCAGTACTGTATAGAAAAGAGCTTACATGCTAAGGAATGCCAGAATCCTTTTTGGCAGAATGAAAAGTCAGAATTTTTTTCAAAAGAACTAAAACGTTCATAAGTGTCAAAACAAGATGCTAGGAGAACTCTTGAAGAATCCTTTTAATCATGTGAAGTTCACTGCAGGATGTTTCTTTTGTTTCATCATGTTGGTTAGTATAACCGGTTGTTTGCTGAACAGTTCTAACCGTGTCACATTATTCCTCAAGACATGCACTTCTTGTGTCATATGTTGTGATTTGTTTCTGACATTCATTTGTTAGTGCTAGCTACATTACTCTATTTATTTGTAATTGTTGTGTTTGCTCAACATTTTTTTATTTAACATTACAGTAACAGAATAAAACATTCATTATGATCCAGTAAAATTACAGATAGTGCATTTTGCTTTGTAATTGTTTTTGTTTTACCGATAATAGATGTTACAGCCATTATTGATTAGAGTTTATAATCATTTAGTATGAGCAGACTTTAATTTCACTGAGTTTTATTATCAAACTGTAGCCTAAAATCTGCTAACAGCAGTTCCTTTAAACTTCAAGTTCCTTAGATGGGATAGAAAATTATTATGATGGATTTGTTTATTCTAAATTAACAATGTAAATAAAACATGCCTTTGAAGTAATATTTTTTTTAGTATTTATTTAGTAGTATGTTATATGAAAAACAGTCATTAAAGTAAACCTTGAATCTAGTTATTATCAGTTTGTCTCTCAATAATTATGATATTTTTGTGTATATTTAGGCAGCAAGATGCACCTATAATTCAACTGGTGTTACTAAGAATGTATATATAGGGTAAGTCTGTCCCCACCCCCACCCCCCTGGCATGATTATTTGATATTTCTTTTAGCTCACATCTCATTTTTGTTTAGTAGAAGAAAGTCTGTGAGATACAAGCTGTGCCATATTGTTATTATGTATAAATCTGATTCATCTAGGCCAGAAATAGAAAAGGCCAGTGTTGATTTGCTGCATAGGTTTGCACTAATCACATTGGGTAAGAAAGGGCTTAAAAAGATGCTGGGATAAAAAAAAATAAAGCTCCGACACATAAGCACAAATTTAGATTTTTGTAAAAACTTACTATACCCTTCATTCCAAGCACACCAAAAATTACTGCTGTAAAATAAATGTAGTTTTGTGGTTAAAAATGTACCTATAAAATCATTAAGTATTCCGGCTTTTAATTCGACAGCTGATAAAAATTTTACTTGTACCTAATTCAAGTGACGAAATGTGCAACTTCTACATCATGTACTACACCAGAATTAAAAATGGACAATCATACGGTAAATGTGTTGATGTAGAAATACCTGAACTTAACCAGAACCTACCTGAAGGAAACGACATTCAGCTTCACACCGGTCTTTCCATGGAACAAAATATCCCAAGATCTGATCCTGAAACTTTCGTCCCATCTATAAGTTCATCAGACTATTTTCATGTTGATAAAAAAGACCAAGTGGTTGGTCCAAGCGACCATAGCACTCCTACAGGGGAGACTGTTATCAGTAAGTTATGAATTATTATCGTTATAAATATACTTTTCACTTATGGACCTATGAATAATTCAAAAAATTGGTGCAGCTAACACGTTTACATGGATACATGTTTTTTGTTGGTTCTTTTCTTTTGTAATTTTACTGACTAATATACTGTATTGTGTTGATTAGCTCTATTAAAAATATTTGGCATTTAATATTGACAGTGAAATTTAACACTACATGACGTTTTTATCATTTATAATTATTCTATATTGTTGGTATTTGGGATTTGATTACCTGTAATATACATTTTTCTAAGCTAATATAAATATTTACATTTTCTAGTTTTATAAGTTTTATCCGAGATTTAGTGGTGTCAGGTTTCTTTCCTATTTAATTTTGATGGTTCAAGGGTTTAAGTATTTAAAAATAAGTTGTGTTCCGATACAGTCTCACCTCCCCTTACACATAGCTGTCTTGATCTTCTTTCTGGTCTTTAAGCATTGCTGAAAAGATTTTCACACTCAGAGCACCAGTCTATATATCCCATCAATTTTGTGCCACTATTGAACATGTGCATAGCATGTGACTACTCTCAACCAATAGTATTGTGCCATCTATATTGGCGCAGCTAGTTCCCTCTGCTATTTCTGCTCAATCCTCACTTTTTTCAATTGGCACAGCATTGATTAGATATATTTTTTTTTTGCAGGTGGTTCCCATGTGCTTCTTTGCCATTTCAAATCTTTTTTTTTTCCAACAGTTTTATTTTTCTGCATTTGTTTCTTGTTACTGAATTATAAGAGATCTTAGTATGAATTTGCGATTCAATGTATTGACTACGAAAATTCCTGTTACAGTCGAAAACACAATGGGTACAACTTCCCAGGAATCGGGTTCAACTTTACCTGCAGAGGAGGTACAGGTCTTAATTTCTTCTTTTCAAATTGATAATGTTTTTGAAGAAGAATACAATAAAGTAGAAGACTATTTCAACTTTCTTTTTCCAGCACCTTCTTATTTTGGTCTGTCACACTCTACACCTCTTCAGGAGTTTTCCCCTTCCTTTTTTTTTTTTTTACAGTTAGTTAATCAGGTCATTGATCAACACATATTCTGGTTTTTGATGTATGCTCAAGACATGAGTGATTTAGCTAGTTTTCTTTTTCCTACCACATTGTTCACTTTGGTGGAGGTTTGTTCTTCTCCTCCTTTCTTCATATTGCTTCCAGTGGTTCTGTGGTAAGTTTTTCAACTTGTACACTTCACACATGCTCGATATACCCTTGTCAGGCACGGCTCAGATGCCCTTTGTATGACTCAGTCCTTCATTACACGTTGGAGATTTAAGTATTTCACATCATCGGTGCTCGAACTTTGGTAAGTTAGATATTTATGTGTCCTTTGCTGTCTAAGTTAACTTAAATGAATTGGGAGTTAGTTATTGTTTATTATTTTGTTTTTATAGGTAAGTTTTTTCATTTTGCACATTCGTTAATATTACATACCTTGTAGACTTGGTAAATCTTGAGGGTTTGTGAGTTCGATATTAATAAGTACTTTAATTAGATATGCTTAGATAGTGTGAAAATTACATATCATTGTTACTAGTCATATCTAATTCATTGTTCTATCTGACAATTATCTTTTGTTGCTATTGTTAAATATGTGCCTTATAATCCTAATTATCATAATTGTTGGCCTTACTTATGTGTCCTTTGTTGTCTAAGTTAACTTAGATGAATTGTAAGTTAGATATTGTTTATAACTTTTTTTTCTGAGTAATTATTGTCGGATTGCACATTCGTTATTGTAATATACTTTGTGGACTAGGTATGTTTAGATAGCTTGTACATTACATATCATTACTACCAGTAACATCTAATTCATTGTTCTATCTGGATAAATTTTTTGTCATCGTTAACTATGTGCTTTATAATCCTACTTTTCATCAGTGTAGGACTTAATTTTATTTTTTTTTGCTTTTCTACATCACTGATGTGTTATTTTCTTTCCTGTTTGTAGGGCTGAGGTTTGCTTAGGCTCCTTTTCCTACATTCTTGGTACTAGAAACCATATTTACTGTTTGGACTATCCTGAGCTCTTTAAAAGTTTTGTCAGGTGGTATGAGCTCTTGCCCAACATCTTCATTTGATGGGTCTTCACACTCATCTTTACATGGTTGACTGGCTACTGTTTGCTTCTTCCCATTTACAGTCGAAAGACCATACTCTTCTGCTCCTACAAGAAGCAGCAATGGTAGGATTCTTGATGAAAGGGGGAAAGTCTGTTCTTACCCCCAGTCAATTCCCTGTTCATTTGGGGTTTTTCTTCATTCTTAGCTCAATTGGACCCCACCTTCTTCTCTTCATCTTCAGGATGTGGTGTAAACAGTTCACAATGCCCCACAGCTTAAGAGGTTCTATCTCCTTCGGGGATGTGAGCTTCCTTGGAAGCTCTCATTCCCATGGGTCAGGCTATTATGTGTTTCCTTCAATGAACACTCTTAGATCAGTGGAACTTCTACTTGGAACAATTGGATCACCCTTTTAACCTTCAATCCCAGATAACTACCATCCTGGCTTTGTGGTTAGACAGAGACCACACAACAGCAGGGGAGCTGCTTCCTCTGCCTCATCCAGATTTACATCTGTTCATGGACTCAGCTTTAGAGGGTTGGGGTGCTTATCGAGCTTTGTCCCACTTCCTTCCTTTTCTGCAGGAGAGAATGGTTATGGTACACTCTGACAACTCCACAGTGGTCACATGTATCACCAAGCAAGGACGTACCAATTCCAGGTCTCTGTGCTTACAGATCCTGGATCTACTTTTTTGATCCCACAGTCACCACATTGTGGTCTTGGTTTCCCAGGTTCCTGATGCACTGAATCTGGTTGTGGATCAATTATCTTGTGTCAACAAGATTCTCTCCATGGAATGGTCCCTCGATTCACAGGTCTTTTGGTGAATGTGTTCCAAACCAGGGACACCTCATATATGCCTTTGCTACTCACTGGTACCCCAAACTTCCATTGTTTTGGTCTCCCATTCCACACCCACTAACTGTGGGGATGGATGCATTTAGTCAAGATTGGAGGAGTCTTCACATCTATGCTTACCTTCCTATTCAACTCCTCTCCAGAGTTCTATTCCAAATCCAAAACACTCCATGTCTAGTCCTACTGGTTGTTCTATATTGGCCAGTACAACCATGGTTCCCACTGCTCTGACCTTTACTTGTATAACCTCCCCTACCCTTACCTTTGTCAACCTTGATCATACATTGTTCATCCAAACATCACCACACTCCGTATTCACGCATGGCTTATGTTAGGTCCATTGCTTCAGTCCAGGAACTGACTCCACGTATTGCATCTTTCCTTTCCCATTCCATCAAGCTTTCATCCATGTCCAATATAACTTAGACCACAAGTACATGAAATTTTATATATACCACATTTATCCTTAATTCAATTTTATCTTTCAAACTATTAATTATATGACTGAATTTTAATTGAGGAGTAATTTTACAAGTAGGAACTTAAACTTTAGAGTAAAAGAACATCAAAATGTGATGGATAAATTAAAAATGGGTGAATCGGCTTTGGCAGAACATGTGGCGAATTTTACACATGTTATTGACTGGGATAATGTAAAAATATTTGATCAGGTGACAGAAAAAAATGAACTAAATATAAGAGAATCCTTAGAAATTGTTAAAAACAAAATTAATATAAATAGAGATTTAGGTCTAGGAGCCAAGGAAGTAAACTTTTGGAAATCATTGTTGTAAATGGTGCCACTGTAAAAACATGCTAATTTTACACGTACATTAGGTTTATAAGAAACTTCATGTGTACTTCGTGATTTATTCTCTTGAAGATGGTGGAATTATTTTCACCGAAACATATAGAGTTTTTAAAGTTTCTTTTAACTTATATTTTTTAGACTTTAAAAATTAATTATTGTGGAAATATAAAATGCTGATGTTTCATTTTATTAATTCTATTTAAAATATCTTGAGAATTATGCACAGGTAATTAACTTGTTTTCCTATTTGTGAGCCAGGTAAGAAAGTTATAAAAAATAAAAATAAAGAAAGTGATAAAAAGAAAACCTATCCCCATTGTGTTTCAACAAAGTCACATACAATTGAAATGCTTTCATACCACACAGAAATTCGTATGTTGTATGATAGCAACTTTTGAAATATAGAACTCAGAAAGGAGTTCTTATAGAGTTTTCAAAGTTTCTTTTAACTTATATTTTTTTAAACTTTACAAATGAATTTTTGTGCAAGGAAAAAACGTTGATGTTTTGTTTTATTTAAAATTGTTTTGCACAAGAACCATGTTTTACGTATTGATTCTCAACATAGTATTTGATTAGCATATCATACCTTTTTAGGTTAAGTGTTGGGATTTGCTTTTGTGAATAACACACTTTTAAAAGTACTTGAAATGGTTGTTCATCACATATTGCCCCCCCCCCCCCCAGTGGCACAGCGGTACGTCTGCGGACTTACAACGCTAGAAACCGATACCCATGGTGGGCAGAGCACAGATAGCCCATTGTGCAGCTTTGTGCTTAATTCCAAACAAAGAACAATCAATCATCACATATTTATATTGTATTTTAATGTTTTATAACAAAATAATTTGCTACAGTGAATAATTTAATTTTTTCTACAACCTGTGACAAAAAATTAATCATCTTAATATGAGTGATCTATAAAATCAATGCTGCGTTTTATTTAGAACTGCTACCAGTGTGTATGTGAGACAGTATATTCAGGTATTTTTAGGATATAATAATTTATAAGAAAACTAATAAAGCATTTAATTTAAGATTTACTAAGAAGTAAATACAAACTTATTTAATTTGTGCACTGTAGTAATCAAATAAATGATATATTAAGGCCATTTCTTATTGGGATTTCAAATACATTTGAATGAACAGTGAATGCCACATTTAGTGCAAGACAAGGATTATATCTTCCTAATTATGGAGTTATTAATATACACTATCTTAAAGTCTCTTCAAAATTATTAGATCGTTTTTATTCTTTTTAATGTATTTACTCCCAATAAATAATTCAGATTAACCATAGATCATGATATTTGGTATGCTCTAGCTTAGATAGAGACAGTACTTTTACAAAAAAAGCTCATATCGTTGCTGTTTAGATATTTAAAGGCTGTAACATAAGATTAGACAATCAGTTACACTTCTACAAATAAATATTAAATTTTTTTTTTTGAAGAATGGCAGAATAAAAACATTTAATAAATTGAGATGAAGAAATGCCACTTTATATTCCTCACTGCAAAAGAATGTTATCAGAAAATAAAACAGTGAGAAATGCTTAAGAGTTATTGAACAACAAAAATAGCTCCAGATGTAATAATAGAATAATAGTTTTCTTTCAGAATTTGTTATATTCCAAAATTGAAATTTAATTAAAGCTTTTAAAAGAATATATATACATTATTTTCACTTTCTAGCCAGACAAAAAAAAAAGATTGAAAGTTGGTTATTGTTACTCCTTTTCTCAAAGGAAGTGATAAAAATTGTACCAGTAATTATAGACCTCTTAGTCTTACATCAGTGGTAGGAAAAGTTTTTGAAAGTCTGATAAAAGATGCTTTGCTAAATCATTTAACAAAGTTTAAAATTTTGTTGGATAGTCAATGTGGTTTCATTAGGAGAAAATTTTGCCTAACTAATCTTTTGACATTCTTTGAATAGGTTACTGTTTAGGTAGATGAGGATACAGGTACGTATGTGGTGTATCTGGATTTTCAGAAAGCACTTGACAAGGTGCCACACAAAAGACTTGCTAAAAAATTATTTCTGTAGATGTGGGGGATAGGTTGGCTTATTGGATAGAAAATTGGCTAGTTGGAAGAAAGAAGAGGATTGTTATAAATGGAGTTCAGTTAAACTGGACTGATATGATGAGTGGGGTACCTCAGGGCTCAGTGTTAAGACCTTTGCTCTTTTTTATTTACATAAATCATTATTTATTTTGCTGATGACAAAGTTTTGGGTGTTGCTGGATTTCGGGAGGATGTTACTGTCTTACAAAAGGATTTGGATTATTTTGGAAGTTGGACGAATAAATGACAAATAACTTTTAATTATAATAAATGCAAGTTAATGCATATGGGATATCACAATTTGAATTATGAGTATAATTTTAATGGGAATAACCTTAACAGTGTTATGGAAGAAAAAGGTCTTGGTATTCTGGTTTATCAATCTCTTAAGCCATCCAAACAGTGTGCTGTTACTAGTGGTCGAGCAAATAGGGTTTCAGGTTGTATCTACAGAAATATTAGATACAATTTCACTGAATACTGTGTTCAGTGTTATACTCCTTACCTTAGAAATGACACGGAAATGTTAGGGCTTAGAAGACAGTTATTAGGATGATACCTAGGATGAAAAGGATAGGTAAAGATTTCTGAAATTGTTTTCTCTTGAAAAAAGAAGAATTTGGTTAAAGTTTTTAAGATTGTAAAGGGAGTTGATAATGTTGATCCACAATCGTTTTCTGTACTTAATGATATGAATGGTCGGACTAGGGAACACAACTATAAATTTCAGCTAAGATAGCTTTATTTTCCTAACAGGGTGGTGCCTTTGGAGTGGGCTGCATTCAGATGTGGTAGATGCAGGTAATTTTAAGGGAGTTTAATGGAAAGCTTCTAAATATATAAATGCTAAGGACTAGCTTTGGGTTTTTTTTTTTGTTTTTAATTTAGTGGATAGGATGACCTAGATGGATCAAAAGTCCTTTGTTGAACTTTTATGTCAATAAAACCAATAATTAAAGTTAAATGTTAAGACATATCAACCCAATGTGCACGGGCTTGATACATTGGACTGACCCCATATTGGAGAAGGAATACTGAATATAAATCTGAAGTTACTGTGTGTGTATTTACACAAAATATGGCAAGCTTATAGGAAAATCTACAAGTCTGTTAAAGACAAAACAAAATTACATGAGTTACAGAGGTATTTGTACTGAAGATATGTCTGTGAATTGACAATTTCAGTCCGGCTCAGACACTGACAAGTCAAGAGTGCAAAGTGAAGAATAAAGATACTTCTTTCCATTTTATAGTTTGCATATTATATTTGAATAACCTCTTATCTTCAGTTTCCTTCAAGTATCTCTGTATATTGTATCTGGTATTTAGTCTTCTCTATCACAAACAATTGCTAAATCGGTAATTTAGGGTAAAATGAATGGTTGATAATTTTAACACCAATTACATAAGATCATGTTGAATAGAACTCTCTAAAAAGGCATGGCCTGTGTACTTTTACCTCCACCCTTGAGCAGGGGGGTTACTCAACTAAATTTGGGACTTGAATCAGGTAAAATTGTTTCAGCCTGGATTAGTTTTCTATAGTTTATAACAGTTCTCTTAAAGATACAATTTATTTTTTTTACATCAATTCAAGCCCTCATTTTGTAAATAACAATTCAATTTTTATTTGATAGGATACGAAGTCAATAACAACTGGCCAGCAACTAAATTTAAGTTTGGTCAAATCTCGGCCGTTGCTGTTGATAACAAAGGAAGAGTTGTGGTCTTTCACAGAGGTTCTCATATTTGGAATTCATTGTAAGTTTTCTTTTAGTGTAAACTTAAACTAGTAGATCTAACATTGTTCAACAAAATACTTGTTAAGTTCTAGTGATTGATAGAAATAATTGTTCGGCCAAGTAGTATTTCTGTAAAATCATCCTAAAATGTACCTGCTAACTTATCGTCATTTCTTTATTTTACATATTTTATGACAGAAGGAAAGGCTATAAAAATACTTGCACAAAATGAAGTTATAAATATGTATTTAAAAATGCTTTCTTTAGAATTTTTGTAAAAGTGTTTGTCATATGGGAAGAAGAGGAAAGGAATATATTGGTTCCCTGAGTGATAAATAGGACATTAGGAAGACTGAAGAAAAGGTGGATGGATGTAGTGAGTGTAGACATGGAAAAGAAGATTGTTTATTATATCAACAAGTTTAACACTTATTATTATGCTTTTTTTTTTTCATAATTCTCTGTGAATGCAATTGTAATACCTTTAGTAGTGGAGGATTCTTGAACCAACTAAAAAAATGTAAACACCTGCATATTGTCCATTTCCTGAATGTTAATAATAGAATAATGATTTATACACAAGTCATAACATTATTAGTATTATTATTATAGGTTACTTTACTGGTGATTGAAAAAACCCAGAAATAGAATATATACACACACACCACCATTATAAGAGGCCTTAATGGTATTTCTTTGATTTGCTGACCCAAGCTGTGCTGATGAGCCTTAAATAGGTGAAATTGAAGTCCAGAGCAGAGGGTATGGTGAATCAAATAATGCATTGGCTCTCTCCGTCACAGATTCTTTTGTCAATTTTACTTTTGGTGAGAAAGAAAAGAAATCTGTAACACAATATATATGTATATATATATTTATTGATTAATTAGTTTGTCCAATATATAACATGGAATAATGATTTAGGCACAAGTCATAACATTATTCACACACATAAATTATTTTAGGTCGCTTTATTGTTGATTGAAGAGGATTTAAAAACCCTGTAAATAATCAATAATAGTGTTATTTAAGTCACTATATGAAGGAAATGAAAGAAGTAAAATTGGATTTTCCTATAATCCATTTCTGCTGCACATGTGATGACAATAATCTGCGGTGCTTCTAGATTAATTGCAAGTTTCCAGTAATAGGTGGCCGCATGAGACTTCAAGAATTTTCTCTGACTTTTTAAGACCAAAAACTTTTATTAATACTTTGTTTCAGTAATTTTTCGTTTAAAAATATTTTTTTCATTAGAAATCCTATCTGTAAAAAGTATTTCTGTTAGTACTGAGATTTATCATTCTGAATTTGAGATATATATATATATGACTTGTTTTTTAATGTTTTAGTTAATATACCTGTTTATTTTGATTACTAAGAATGTGCTGTTGGTAGAATAATAATTTTCTAATCTAGTAAATTATATGCACTGAATCAAAATGCTTATTATTTCATCAGATGTGTATACCAACCATTGTCTTATTTTTTTGACTAAAGCAGTTTGATGTTTGTTTAGACCATAGCTGATTAGGCATAGTGAAGCAAGAATCATAATCTAATCTTTACAAGTCTGATCCTCTAATATAAGAAAGAATATATGAATACCGTAGTACATGTGAACCCTTTGTTCTCCTGAAGAAGAATAGTCAACTATTCGAAAGCGCTCGAGTTTTGGGTCTCGTTTTGAAAATAGTACATGTGTACATTATCTATGTATATCCTACTTTATATTGTATTTCATAAAATTCCTACACTCCACCAAGCAGAGTATATAAAAGCTATTCAGTTATTCTACTTTTCTTATGCACTTGTTTTCACTGCTTTTGTAGGACTTTTGATTTCACAAATCATTACCAATTGATAGACAGAGGTCCTATTGAGGAAGAAGCTGTGGTGGTGTTAAATGAAGAAACAGGCAAAATAGAGCATGTGTGGGGAAGCAACCTGTAAGTTCTTCTGTATTATGAAGTTTTGTTATTTATTTTACATTTTTATTCATCAAGTGAACTGTTAGCCCAATATCGAAGAACAAAGTGTACTCTAACTAATGTAATATTTTGTTGTTTTTGTTTTTAATAAAAATATAAATGTACATTGTACATTAATTATATTTTTTTTTACTGGTTTTGTTGATAATCTTTTCATAATATTATTTTCAACTTTGGTTATTCCTTGTGTACTTATTGCTACTTCATGCTTTTACCATTATGATCAACCACCTCTCGTTTAACATGGTGAACAACAACAAACTGTTTTTGTTGAAGTAACTGATTTTAACATTTAACTTCATTATTGTTGTGCAAACACTGCATTTAGCATTTCTTATTTTTAATATATATAATTTTTTAACCCAATATATTGTTATGTTGTTGTTTCTGTAATCTTTTTTAAATCATTTTTGTGTAGTTTTATCATATTAAACTTGCTTGGATTGAATAGAAAAGCTTAACCATTTAGGCATTTTTCTACATATAGTTTTATCATATTAAACTTGCTTGGATTGAATAGAAAAGCTTAACCATTTAGGCATTTTTCTACATATAGTTTTATCATATTAAACTTGCTTGGATTGAATAGAAAAGCTTAACCATTTAGGCATTTTTCTACATAAAGGTTCTACATGCCACATGGGTTAACAGTTGATGCAAATGGGTCATTTTGGCTGACTGATGTTGCCTTACATCAGGTAAGCAACATGTGCTCTGTTCTCTCAAAAACTTATAATTATTGTGCACTCATCATTCATAGATATCTGTGTTTTCTTTTAATATAAGGAAATAACCAACTATCAGTAATGTGTTCAAAATGATATTTGTCTACTATTTCCAAATGTACGTGCAATATTCTGATAAGAAATAAATATATAAAGACTACTATACATTGTTGAGTATTGATAAAGGTTAATTTTAAAGTGAATAAGTTACCAAAACTAAGATAATTGAAAGGAATTTTAGGTCCTGTTTTAAATCTGGTGTTGTTTAAGATTAGTAGAAGGGTGATATTGCATATTTTTCATTGTTTTCTATGCTTTTAAGTGAGGTAATTTTTAGCTTTGTTATTATTTCTTTACTTTTAATGTGAATTAGAAAATATATGAGGGTTTAGTTCATATGGCTGTTGGATTAATTGGATTATTTTTTATTGTTGTTGCTTACTTTTCCAAATTTAAACTGAAAAAATATTAGACATGCAGTCACGATCTTTAAGTCAAGTCAGCATTACCTAAAGCAAAAAACCAGTATGAGTTAGTGTGTGGTTTACTGTGGACCTAAAGAAATCACTTGATAATTAGGTAAAAGTTTAACAAAAGCATTACTATGTCAGTCCAGGTTTTGATCCCCATAGTGGGCACGGCACATTTAACCCATTATGTAACTTGCTTAACCCTTTAGGAGCATACTTTTTTCCAGTCATATTGTGCTCAAAATCATTATCAGATAACTCAAGTTCAGAGCCAGAATCATCATCAGCTTGCACAAGTTCAATTGTATCTTCAAGTGTGAAAACACTGGAGCGATTTGATGCCATTTTGAGTCTTTTTTTTTCATAAAATTAAACATTTTTTGATTGCAGATATTATCAGTGTTTTGAATAGCAACATACACCATATTGGATATGAATCAGTGGCTGAGATCATCATCTGTGTAGATAATGTTTTGTCTATTGATTTTATGCACTTGTTTTGCATTTCTAGTAGGAAATTAAAACTGCATTAGGTGGTCATCGTACAGTGACAGGAGGAAGAGGTAGAACAAGTACCTGACCCTCCCATGTCCAACATAATTGGACCTTAAAATTTGATACAGCGGATGATAGTGACAAATGTGCTTAAAGGGTCAAACAATATATACGTTAAAGCATGTGTTGCTACATGAATGTCTTGATTAAATTCAATAAATTCAGGATTACCTGTTTTTTGTAATAAATAGTGCTGAAAATTTGTAAATCCAAAAGTTCCAGGTTTTTTTAAAACTATATGTCACTATGAGCGTAGAGACTAGTCTTAATCTAGATCTTTTAAACGTTTTTTTCATAATTTTAGCCAAGAGTAATTCACGTGTAAAATATACCAAACTTGTATTTTTTTATACAGTAAAGAACAGACTTCTTTTAATTTGGCTTTTTCTTCTCACAGGTTTTAAAGTTCTCATCTAATGGATTAATTCAACCTATGCTTGTATTAGGAGAGAAGTTTATTCCTGGAAGTGATAATACTCACTTCTGCAAACCAACTAGTGCTGTGGTCAGTGTTGACGGGGATATTTTTGTTGCTGATGGGTAAATTTGTTTCCAATTTAATAGTATCTCTTGCACAATGTTTTGTTTTTTGTTGAAAATCATAAGGCTAATTTATTAATTTCGGTTGTATCTGTGTGATATACAGCCATACAATGAATGAGAAACAAAATATAAGACGTGTCAAAAACATCATGTATTTTCACAACATTTTAAACCATTTCATTGTGTATATTTTCAACTATATTGCAATAACTATTAATTGATTTCTATTAACAGAGGAAAAAAGCTATTTCTGTTTTTTCGAAAGGGCATTGTTCTTTTACGTTGCTAAGACTCACAGAGTAATTATATACTTTATATATTAAATAATAAAAACAAGTTGATTTTGGGTTCCATTTTTTAGTGACTGGAGTAAGATTTATTAAATTTTATGATTTTAAACTTTTTGAAGCTTTTTAAACTTAGTAATTAATATCTGAATAATATAAGATTTGATGTAACAACTACTTAATATTCACAAACTGCAATTTATACTGAATAAGATGGTAGACATGATCCTTCAAAATAACCCATCTCCTGTCGTATATGATGTCTTATGAAGATACACATAGTATACTGACTTTTGTTTAAATACTTGTTGTAGAATGTTTTATAAGTAATTGAAAGGTTGTAACAGATCATGACTTACCAGAGTTATTATTTCTTTATAAACTGTTCTAGTGCTGAGTTGGTGAAAATGTCAGATTATCATCATAGAAGTATCAATACTCAATAAAAGGGGTGATCCTAGTTTGAGAACATTTAGATAGATTACAACATTTGCTATTCATAATATATCTTAAATATAACTCTTTTAATTTATGATTTTCGATATGTAGTATGTAAGAATGTTAAATAATTTTTGTACTTTACTGAACTATACTTTTTTAGGAGCTTTCTAAATGGGTGATTATTGTGATATATCTGCTGTCCAGTAAGTTGTTTGATAATAGTCTTGTTCTTTTAAGGTTGTTACATAAGTTCATTATTTTTCAAACTGTGGGGCATCCCCTATCCTAGGGTGCATGACTAGACCATCATGACCTGACTATTTAAACATTTTCTCATGCTTCATCAAAATAGTAGATTTCCTTCGGAAATATCCTTGACCTATGTATAGACATTAATCCTTAGAAAGAAGAGAATATCCTCAACCTATGTATAGACATTAATCCTTAGAAAGAGGAGAATATCCTCGACCTATGTATATACATTAATCCTTAGAAAGAAGAGAATGTCCTCGACCTATGTATAGACATTAATCCCTAGAAAGGGAAGAATATCCTCAACCTATGTATAGACATTAATCTCTAGAAAGGGAAGAATATCCTCAACCTATGTATAGACATTAATCCTTAGAAAGAAGAGAATATCCTCGACCTATGTATAGACATTAATCCTTAGAAAGAAGAGAATATCCTCGACCTATGTATAGACATTAATCCCTAGAAAGAGGAGAATATCCTCAACCTATGTGTAGACATTAATCCTTAGAAAGAGGAGAATATCCTCAACCTATGTATAGACATTAATCCTTAGAAAGAAGAGAATATCCTCGACCTATGTATAGACATTAATTCTTAGAAAGAAGAGAATATCCTCAACCTATGTATAGACATTAATCCTTAGAAAGAAGAGAATATCCTCGACCTATGTATAGACATTAATCCCTAGAAAGAGGAGAATATCCTCAACCTATGTATAGACATTAATCCTTAGAAAGAGGAGAATATCCTCAACCTATGTATAGATATTAATCCTTAGAAAGAAGAGAATATCCTCGACCTATGTATAGACATTAATCCTTAGAAAGAAGAGAATATCCTCGACCTATGTATAGACATTAATCCTTAGAAAGAAGAGAATATCCTCGACCTATGTATAGACATTAATCCTTAGAAAGAAGAGAATATCCTCGACCTATGTATAGACATTAATCCCTAGAAAGAAGAGAATGCACATGGGGTATTAATCTTTGTAGAGGCATGTCAAAAAAATTCAAATTTGAGAACCATGATTTCATAAATGGTATCGATGTAGTATGTGATTTGACAATATGCTTCATTCATCGTCATTAAAAAGCTCCAGATAAGGCACATCTTAATCTAACTATTATCATGTGTCAGTATATGTGATATTTTGATCAGATTGAAACATATTATTATTAATTTTAGCTTCTTGTGCTTTGTTATTGGTTCATACTAATTTTTTTTTTTCCAGTTACTGCAACAGTCGAATTGTAAGATTTACTTCAAAAGGAAAATATATCAACCAATGGGGAAGGCATACACCTCTAGGTAACTAAACCTTGTATCAGTTAATTGTATTAGTCTGAAATCAACATTTTTTACTCCTGTATCAACTTACTGTAAAATGCTTACCTAGGATTGCCCTTTTCCCCATGTTGATGCAATTTTAACTTGTGCTCTTAGATAAATTTATCATGTATTACCCCCCTGGGTTGAGCTTGGCCTCATGTAAGTATGTTGGGATGCAGAGACAAATCAGTATTTTACAAGTGGGCTGGGTTTGGCTAAAGGTTAATATGCTGGGATGTGGAGATAAATTGGCATGTTCTACTCATGAGTTGGGTTTGGCCTAATGGTAAGTATGTTGGGATGTGGAGATAAATTAGCATTTTGTACCCCTAGCTGGGTTTGGCCGGATGTTAGTATACTGGGATATGGAGGTAAATTAGCATATTTTTACCCTAGACTGGGTTTTGATTAATGGTTAGTGTGCCAGGATGGAGAATAAAAAGTCTAAACTTGGATATGTGAATCCGCTGTAATTGCCATTGTAAAAACAACAGTTAATCCCATAATTTGGATCAGATAACTGGACAAAACCCTTTGTGGCTGTGAGTGCTGTCCTCCTTTCGACTAGTAGCTCAAAGTTAGAGATGGCTGTATCTCAAGAGTAGAGGGTATGTGATCTGTTGTTTAGCCCACATGCACACAACGTGCCATTCAGGTTCAAAATTAAAATTCCATGTTTTATTAATTCAGAAAACTATACTGTAGAAAAAAACTTTTTAATTGCTTTGTATAAATGTTTTTTAATAATTAATAATCATTTTTATATTTTACAATGACTCGCATCTTAAAGCATAAAAATATTCTTTCTAAGTTTATTTTATTCTTAATAAGTTGATAATAGTTTAACTTTGAAGAAGAGAAGCCAACTTTGTAACTAATAAAGTTTGGAGACTGCTTGAATGGGTAACAAAGAAAATTATTACCATGTTAAAATGTTGTGCTCTGTTAAACTTGTAAGAAAGTTTTCTTCATTACCTGTTCAAGCCACCTCAAAAGTATAATAGTTTGTTGTACAATCCATGCTTCCCTTCTCTGTTTTTAATTTTATGATTTTTATTCTCATATTATTCTTATTCCTATCTATTTGAAAAACTTACAGTTTTATCACAAATTTTGTTAGTCTACTGGTAAATCGTATATGATCTGCCTTTAATTAAAATGTTGATTATATCAATAAGTTATATTTTTAACATTCAATACTTTTTTTAGTAAGGTGACATGCTAAACTTATTTAATCTCAATAAAAAAGCTCATTTGACATATCTGTAGCACAGTTTTCCTTAGATTATGTGCTTTCTTTGACTTTTGTTTTAGGTAATGATTAAGCCTGTTTCCTATAGGTTTGGCCATTATTAATCTAAATTTTAAGCTTAGTAATTAATATTAACTGCTGAGTAGAGCAAGCTGCCCTCTAGTGTATGGCTCAGCAGTAAGCTTGAAGACTTGTAATGCTAAAAACTGGTTTTCAATACCCGTAATGGGCACAGCACTGGTAGCCCACTGAGTACTTTGTGCTTAACAAAAAAGAAACAGAGCAAGCTTTCTAGTTAAAGCAGAACTAAAAATGAACATGGTAATGAGTATAGCTAATTAAGTATATTTTTATGTTCTTATTTATAAAGATTAGAATGTGTTGTTTCATCAGTTGGGTGTCATCACTCTTAACGGTGTTACAAACTTGTAAAAGGTAATGTATGAACAAACTCAATGACACGCATCCAACTGATTATTTTTAAAACATGTCACAAAACATATTCTCAATCAGTTCTGTTTAAAACTTGTCATTGATATATTCTTATATCATTCTGTTTAAAGCTTGTCATTGATATATTCTTATCTCATTCTGTTTAAACCTTGTCATTGATACATCCTCAACTTGTTCTTTTTAAAACATGTCACTGCTACATTCTCAAATGATTCCATGTTAAACAGGTTGGCAACATATTTGCAGTTAATACTGTTTAAAACTTGTCAACAACACATTCTTATTTCATTCTGTTTAAACCTTGTCATTGATACATTCTTAACTGGTTCTTTTTAAAACCTGTCACTGCTACATTCTCAAATGATTCCATGTTAAACAGGTTGGCAACATATTCGCAATTAACACTGTTTAAAACTTGTCAACAACATATTCTTATTTCATTCTGTTTAAACCTTGTCATTGATACATCCTTAACTGGTTCTTTTTAAAACCTGTCACTGCTACATTCTCAAATGTTTTCATATTAAACAGGTCGGCAACATATTCTTAACTAGTACTATGTAAATTTCTACATACAATTGATATTGTATAAAATCTGTCATTTCTATGTTCTGAACTAGTACTACATATTAAAGCTTGTGCCTATACATTTCCAACTACCAATATTTAGAACCTATTGTACGTACAATGAAAATTGATACCATTTTAAATGCATGAACAGTATTGCACCATTTAGGTTAGTACTCACTAATAATTGGCATGCTTAAATCTTCATACCTACTCGTTATAATTAAGTACTAATATGTTCTTATCTTCTCAGTTTATAGTGAAAGCTGCCATTAAAACATCATAATCATTATTAAATTAAAATATATGTAGTATGTGGATGCTGTTATTGTTTAGAACCTTCACATCTTAAATATTTGGTATTTTTCAGGATCTTCTGACTTTCCTAGTTCGGCGTTCAACATCCCCCACAAATTGACACTTATTCACGATAAGGGAATGGTGTGCGTTGCAGACAGAGAAAATGGGAGAATCCAGTGCTTTTCTATTCCTGATGGAAAGTTTATTTTTCAACTATCCAGGCCAGAGTTTGGAGGTCGACTGTTCTCTGTCAGTTACTCCAGTGAAAAGGGTAAGACTTAATTTCTTTTCAAGCACATTGTGCTACTATATTAAGAGTAAAAAAAGAAAGACATTTTTTTGATAATTGGTGGTGGTAACTGTGTTATCAAAACTAGCCAGC